TTGCTCTTATTACTTCTCCTTTTTTTTCCTATATTTTTCCTATTTTTGTCCTATTTTTTCCTATTTTATTCCTATCGTGTTTTGTCATTCCCTTTTTTTGTATCTAGGATTCCTATTTTTTTCCTACTTTAATTATTTCCTGCTTTTCTCATGGCTGGCTGACGATTCCGTTTACTATAGTAGCAGTAGTAATAGTAGTAGCACTACTACGAGTACTAGTACTACTGCGAGTACTTGTACTACTACGAGTACTAGTACTACTACTAGTACTAGTAGTACTGGCAGTAGCCGTGGTGGTGCTGGTGCTGGTGCTGGTGCTGGTGCTGGTGCTGGTGCTGGTGCCGGTGCCGGTGATGGTGATGGTGGTGCTGGTGGTGCTGGTGCTGGTGGTGGTGGCGGTAGTAGTAGTGGTAGTGGTAGTGGTGGCGGTAGTGGTAGTGGTAGTGGTGGTGGTGGTGGTGGTGGTGGTTGTTGTTGTCGCTGCTGCTGTTGCGATTGCCGTTGCCGTTGCCGCTGTCGTGGTTGTTCTTTGTTGAAGAACGCTCTCGTAGCGGTCGTAGCGTTCTGAACACATCACAGCCTCACAGGCACCTGGTCGTAAGCGACTTGCTCCCGGAGGCCATCCAGGAGTCCTTTCTTGAGGCGGGCAGCAGTACCACGTAGACTCTTTGCTGGCTGCGCGATGTCCGACATAGCCGTAGAAGCTTGGCAATGCGAGTGTCGCGCCTGTCGTAGCCACCACACAAGGACTTCGAGTTTTTGTTATTTCCTTCTGTGGATCCTTTTCAACCCCGCCGGCATCGAAACGCCGAAACCATGGAAGATTGCATAATCCCCGCACTCCCAGCCCTTGTTAATCACACCTTTCGGCTTGCTTCAAGTCGTATTGGGTTGGGCTCCGCAGCGTGAGTGTGGCCGAAGCGACAAGCCGTATGGAGTGCAGCAACACCAGTCAGTTCTAAGCAGGTGGTTAACAAGTAGCTCGGTTAAAGTCTACGAAGATTTGGTCGGCAGGTTTTATGCAAGCCACAATCGAAAGCCCTGGACCACATGCAAATATATGCAACGTTCCAGGCAAGGATACAACCTGTCCCGAATGGTTGGACACTGAGCTTTCGTTCCAGGCGGCCCACTAGACCTTCTTTGATCGAAAAACACTTCCAAACGTTCAATTCTCGGCAGGCCTTGCTCAGATTTGCCGAGAATCTAGTATGCGGAATAAGGCTCGTTAAGGAGCCCTAGGACAAACCGTTATCTTGGAAACGTAGGCTACTTCAGACAGACGCAGCACAAGCAACGCTTCTTATCGGTGGCCATGCTGCATCGCGTGAGCTATGTGGGGCCGTGTCCACGGCGGTTAGGCGTGCGAGGCTTGGACCAAAGCATCCCCGAACTTTTGTTCCCCTCTGAAGTGGATCCATTTCCGGACAGATATCAGGCTGATTGCCAAATGACACGTGGGGCTGGCCGGTCGCTGTTTTTGGGCTTTGCGGAGGCAATGTGTGATACTTTGAAGTCGAGGCGCAGGCTCAATCTGCATGTTGTCCTGATGGCTTTGAATTATGCCAATGCAACATCGGAAACCACCGATCGGAGAGCCGGATCGTGCAGACCTTACCCTTCGCAGTTTCAGTTTGGTGAAGCTGAGGAGGTGCAGCCATGATCAGCCAGGAGCGGCGTGAGAAGATGGAGAGGCGCACACCGACATAAGAGGCAGTGCAGGAAGCACTTGAACAGGCAACTCTCCTAACTTGTGGTTCTGGGTGTGCAGGAGTCTTCTCCCCGGCTTGACACAAACTAGTCCTAAAATTTCGGACCGCCGAACTCGTGACGATTTCCTGCGATCGCTTGGTTACTACATGGAGCATCCCGCCACGCTCAGCGCTGTGTTCATGTTGTTACTGAAGGTTACATTTGCTTTGTCATCTCCCTGCTACCCCTCGATCCGTTGTTTCACTCAGCCGATTAATACCCGCATGCCTCGCCTGGATTGTCCGGGTGCGAGCACCGAAACTGTCCTAACTTGTTAGCCGCTGTTAGCCAGGCACCAGGCAAAGAAAAGTCGTAACTCCCCAAGCCAGAGTGAATCGAACCATCCGCAAGATCAGGCAGGGCTGGCAAGTCGTGGGCAGCCACTCTGCCACCAAGCTTTGCCGATGGACGAAGTCCATGCTTCAAGGCGGCTTCTCAAGCTTGGGGGTTGCTGGTTGTGTTGCTACGGGTGGGTTCAGGCAGAAATTCCATTCACAGGACAATGGACTGCGAACCGCACTCCATCTCCCTCCCTCTCCCTCCCCCTCTCTTTTGCTCCCTCGCCCTCCCTCTCTCTCCCCCTCCCTCCCTGCCTGCTAAGATCATGCAAGATCTGCGTTGTCTTCGTCCCCGTGCCGTTTATACTGTGACATCCCTTGCCAGGGTTGCATGTACTTGTAGGTCGATAATGCGGATGCTTGTCGGACTTAAGAGTGCAAAAAAGCCAAAGGAGCGACTCCTTCCGAGGCAAAGGTGGCTGCTACAAGCACACCTTTTACGGCATCGCCTCGCACCAGTGCATGGAACATACCCCGAATGTCTCCTGCGCGAACAAATGCGTTTTCTGCTGGCGAAACCACATCAATCCAGTGGCGATGGGCTGGAAGTTTGACACAGATGACCCTGAGGAAGTCTTGGAGGAGCGCCTTCGGATGCCCTGAAACCCATGATCGCCTGCTTTGGTGGGCATGTTGGGCACTTCGGGTTCGAAATGCCCGTGTGGCGTAGTGGCTGTATAGCACCCAGGCCTTCTGAATTCTTAGTTGCGGCGAATTAAACCAATAAGCTTAGGAGTCCTTGCGGAAGCACTACGCCACCATCGAGAGACAGTGCCTCTCCCCAAATGCCTTGGAGGCATTGCGGCAGTATCATTTCTGTAATTTAAACATAAGATAACTACTTGGTCCCATGAAAGTCGGTATACATGCAAGGACAGCCACTATGATTACTTTGCGTCCTACCGTATGACTTAGTTGCTATAACAGTTACTGTAATCACTATGCTTACTGTTGTTTGTTGCCACAACTGCCATAAAGTCGATAAGGGTTTACAGCGGAGGCCCGGAAGGCAGAGGCTCGGCAAGTGCGGCACTGCGCGCTTTCCCTGGTGGGCGAGCCCGTCGCCTACCCGCGAATCGCTGGCTTCCTGGCTGGCCTGCATCTTGGGCTCCTGTTGGAGGAGAATATTGATGCGAAGTCACCCAGACCCCTTACCATGTATCCCGTGTCTGTGCAGTCACCCACAGAGATTGACAGTTCGCTCTGTCTGCAAGGCATCGGCGCCGCATCTCTTCCTTCCTAGTTACAAACGGTCAATTTCCAGATGCGCTCCAGCAGCTGCCGCGGGTCACCCAGCTCCTTGGTCAGCTAGGTCCTACATGCCACATCTTCACAGAAAGGGTTGTAGATGGTTCTGCAATTTTCTGCAGCAGTTGTATGACACTTGCGGCTGCTACATTGTTTTCAGCCCGCAGGGTTGTGAGAGGCTTTACCTGTCCTGCGATGCCGCGGATCGACAGAACCTGCAGCAGGTAGGGAAGCCCTTGTTCAAGGCGGGAAAAGCGAGGTCGGCATATTCATGCACGGGGACCCCATCCTGCCTTTCCATCTACGCTGCATTATGCTACCACTTCAAGAGCTGTGACTGTGTCGTGTAATAGTACTATAGAATAGTAGTACGAATTATTAATAATAATAATAACAAGTATTATTATTAATAATCATAATAGTAGTACTAATAATGCTAGTGATAGTAACAGCAACAATAATATAATAACAATAATAATATAAATAGATAAATAAGCAAACAAATAAATACAACGAATAACCTCAATACCAATAGCAATAGCATTAGTAATAATAATAATGTGATGTATCTCCGGTTGTTTTGTTAGTTCATGTACTGTCCAGCTTACGATTTCTCCTTGACAGGATTTCTGGGAGAGATACATGGAATCATTGGAGATTCTCCGTGATCGACAAGAGTGCCTCGCATTTGTCGTTCCGGAACCTGACACATAATTACAGAAGTCGTCTCATGAACAGGCAGGTAGTCCTGCTTTGCGAGTGTCATGCAGCATTCATATGTCGTCTCGGTGTTTAGATCTGTGACCCAAACCCAGGCGCACGGTGTGCAGACTTACGCTGATGCGAGACATGAACATGGGCTCCCCATCCCAGTGGGCGTCTTTGCTGAGGCCAATCCAGATCTCTGAAGAAAGTGTGGCTATCAGACCCTGCATGTAGTTCCCTACCTAGCTGATGCTTTGTGCTTCTGCAACGCTGTATCGGTCGGGGTGGGCAGAAATTCTTCGCCAGGACCATGACTCTAAGCAGGGCTTTCACAACACCCAGACTTAAACGCCTGAAGCATCTGAAGCGAGTAGCACTCTTTGCATCCTCCCAGATATTAGATATCCCTGGTTTGGGGTCGGGCGGTTAGTGATGTCTGAACTTCGAAGCTTCGACAGGCGATGCGAGCCGGACTTCGTCGAAGTCAAGGTGGTTTGTTACTCTCGGCCGTGAAGCTTCTGCCATGCTACAGGGTTTAGCTAGACGGGTAGAGTTTTGGACTTGCTACATAGGGCCTCGGGATTCGGGACATGTGACTGACCTGACGAAGGGAGTCTTCTGAAGCGCAAGGCCCAAGCTGCCCCAATTGAGCACCTGAAATCCTTGAACCGCTCACACCAATCTGAATCGCACAAGCAATTCCTACCACACCAGGAACCCCCAAGCATGTATTCTAGAAGCCCTGTAGTTCAACTTCCTAATTTTCATTCGGGAACCAGTACTGACTTGATGAATGAATTCACGGACTCATTGACCTGCCAGCTAGCTGGCGCAGTAGCTAGCTAGCTAGCCAACTTGCTATCTAGCAAAAATATGTAAAACTAGCTACAATGAACTAACAAACGAAACTCTTACGGTATGAGAAGCACTAGCAAACACTCCCAACGGAATTGGCGAAGGGCGTTACCATGGCCGGGCTCTTCTCTAAGACCGGCCTCGGCACCCTGAGCTTCAGCCGTACATGGTGTAGTGTAGGACAGTGTAGGATTGAGGGTTTTGTGTTTCGGGTTGCTTGTGTTAGGCTTGCTGGAGAGGGGCTTAGTTTAGCAAGGTCGGATGTAGGATTGTGCAAGTCCTTCAGATCTACACAATCCCACCTGTGCTAAGTTCGGATCCGGAAACGGATCATCCGGAGTCCCCACCTGTAGGCAGAAAGCCTCTAAACCCTAAAGTTGCCCTTTTGCCACCCAGGAACATGCCTACTCACCTGGAAGTGAAGCAGCCTCTTGGATTTCTGTAGCGGAGCTGCTTTGGCTTGGATGGGTGTTGGATTGACACTTCGGGGCTTTAGATGTTCAAGGTTGAGCCTTAGGATCCTGGCCAGGTTCGCCTCTTCCTTGGCTGCCGAACTGATTGGCTACAGCCTGGCGTGTGAGCACGAGTAACTTGAGTTGTTGACGAGGAGTCGAGAGAGCTTTGCGGAGTTCATCGGGAAAATAAAGGTTCGGAATGCTAGACAACATTCTTTTGCTGGCCTTGCGCTGTGGAGGAGTTCGTTTGCAGTGAAACAGCGCGACCTAGGGTTGGCAGCTCTATCTATATCTTTGCGTAACCCTCTGGCTGCAGGCAGACACTCAGAGAGCGCAGGAGGGACAGCGAGAGAGAGCGAGAGAGGAGAGAGAGGAGAGAGAGAGAGAGAGAGAGAGCGAGAGCGAGAGAGCCAGAGAGTAAGCAAACAGATATTATATATATATATATATTATATACACACATACATGTATGTATGCATGTATATGTATTTGTGTATGTATCTGCGGTTGTATCTGTACCTGTACCGCATCTGTATCCGTATCTGTATGTATGTGTATGTATATGTATGTATGTATGTATGTATGTATGTATGTATGTATGTATGTGTATATGTGTATATGTGTATGTATATGTCTACCTATGTGTGTACAGATAGATAGAGGGCGGCTGGCATTTCAGTGCATTTTTGGGCCTGTGGGGTTTAGATTGGCAAGCAGACGCCAATCCCAAAGATCTCAAGAGACTAGGCACTCGAACTCGGCTTTGGTGGCATCCGACCGCTTCCGCGATGGCGATGGCTGGAGGAGCATTTGGGGTTCTGGGGTGTTTCGTCCTCTGCAGGGCTTGAAACTGTTGCTGATGTCAAACGTCGACGGGACGAGTTAGGGCTTCGGGCAAGGGATTCCACATTTTGTGTCCCGGGCTGCGAGTGAACCACTGGGCCTCAAGCCTTAGCCAGAAATTCTATGGTGTGGGGCTCTTCTCTTGAAATCTTCAGCACTCTGAGGCTTGAACGACAGGAGGCCACGAGTTCACGAAGCTTTCCCTTGCCCTTGTTGACGCTAGGGCTTCATAAGTTGATCTTGGAAGTTCGTTTTTCTTGATCATGCTGACTATTCCGCGTGCTCCTTTCAGTCTTACAGACTTGCGCACCGCCGGTGAAGATCACACCGAAGATATTGTACCCTGTAGATCCGTAGATGTCAAGAGGACCTGGATCGACTTCGAGCATTTTGCCGACTCCTGGGATGATTCGAAGTTGACGGCGCAGGAGACATGGGGCTCCGAAGTACAAGGTTCTCGGGCCATCCACAAATTCAGCCCTTTGCAAGCTTCTGTCATGACCTGCACGTTTTTCTGCAGGCTCGTGGAACGAGTTCTTCCCAAATTCCGCGTTCGTCGCATTATTTTTTTGATGCACTCCACCGTGTGTTCAGCAGGATTGTCGCCTGCAGCTGCTGAGAAGTAACATTTAGTCTGAGCCGCTGCAGCTTTTGTGGTCCGTTGTTCTTGCAGCCCTGCGGCATAGATATCGAGATAGACATTGAGACTGCAGTAGCGTAGCCCTGGCCTTGACCAGGATAGTGTGGCAGAGTGTAGGGATGTGGGCAAACAGGGGGGGGGGGTGAGAGAGTAAAACTACCCGCATGAGAGATGGAATGTTCCAGGTTATGTGGTCCTGAGGGTGAAAGCATAGTTGAAGGATAAGGGGTGACCAGATGACACATATGTGTTTACAAGGATCTTAGTTTGTATGACTTGCTGGTTCACGACCGCCTCTTCCAGTCCCCTGATCCATTTTGCAGGTGTGAAGCATTCGGCTTATGGGAGCTTAGTTTGAGGCGTTCCCGGGTGGATCAAACAGAACGTTTAAACCATAAACGAGTTCAACACCTCAACCACCGTAAGGTTTTTTTACAGTCTAGAGCTTCGGGTTTTCAATACTCCAGCCCACATCAGTCCCAACCTAGCCTAGAACACCCAAAGACGCGCGTCCACTCCACTCGTGAGGCTGTCTTTACGGACACATACCATCCAAATCCCGCAAGTCCGAATTTCAATACCTAAAGCACTTTCAATCAGCCTTGTGCACAGAACCTCCTCGGCCCGAAACCCTAGACCCTCCAAGCATGGCAGGACTATACAGTTGCTACGCCCTCCTGGGCGCTCTTGGGCTCACCCGACGAGGGTTTCGCCCCGACAGAGACGCGGAAGAAGCGTGCCCGACCTCGTCCCGTCCTGTCTGAGGAGAAGGAGATGCCAAACGAACAATGGTAAGAGTGGAAAAGATACAAAAGCACCCCTACCCGTCGGTGGATGGACGAAATCTTGCATGACCTCTGCGGGCAGATTCCAATCGATTGAGGCATCAAGCCTCGCACCCGCGAGGGCAGCTGTCGAGTCCCTTGTAAAAAAAGCCTTGCGCCCGCTACTCAACATTGGCAGCTAGGACTTCTTGCGCTGTGCAAGACTTCGGCCATGGAACAAATCCGCGCTGTATCCTTTCACAACCAATGTTCAGAACGCGGGGCAGGGAATCACAAAAACACGTGTAGGAAAAGTGTTGCAAGAGTTCGTGTCCATCCACCGTAGTAGTCGTAGTAGTCAAAGTAAGTAGTCGTAAAATTGTCGGTAGTAGTCGTAGCATGATGGAGTTAATCGTAGTACTGGTGGTAGTAGTAGTAGTAGTAGTAGTACTAGTAGTAGTAGGCGCCCCCCCCCCTACCAACCACCTCTGCTGCCAAGCCTCTTAAGAGCACGTTCGTTTTACTCGGTATTTACGGTACGTTCGTCCTGTCACACCACTTCTTCTTGCCTCAAAA